CGAATGTTTGTTATCCGCGGTCTGCGCGACATTACGAACCGTATCAAATGAGAACAACCTCTTCGGGTGACATTTATACGACACTAATCGATGTTTCCAAATTCTTATCCTCGCATCTCAATAATGGAAGCGGTTTGTTTCAAAGCCCAGAAACGGCTCACCTAATGCACTCCCGTCTCTATCCGAAAGCTTTTGATGGGATGGGATATATGTTTCAAAGACAAAACTTCCGAAATCGAACTATTGTATCCAAAGACGGTGCTGTGTGGCATTTCACTTGCAACGCTGCTCTTTATCCTGATTATAGCGAAGGAGTGTTCGCGGCCTCAACGATTGGTCCAAATCCCACAGCTATCTTTCTAGAGGAAGTCATCATGTTTCAGTTCGTTTCGGATAATTACAATACGTCGACTCAAGCAGAATTTCCGTTTTCGGTTGATAGTGAAGCACAACTTTCTTCGATTCAAGGAGTTTATACTGGAACGCGTAGTGGTCAGAAGAGTCCACTGAAACTATACTATCTGTTTAGAAATTCATACATGCAAGTTTCTGGCGATTCAGTAATTACGATGGGGGTTACATATAAGGCCGCTCTGAATGTATCAGGTCTCTCTTGTCGACAACTATTACTTATGGCCAATACTTCAAGTTCACCAAATAACAAAAATCAATTCATGCTGGTTACATTTACTGACAATTCAAAAACAACTGTGTTACAGATTGAACAATTTCCAGATCTCAATACATTGCAGCCATTGATTGACTGGCGTAACTCTGCGGTTACTGTTGTTGTACTGTTTGCGTTTGCTTTGCTAGCGCAGCTGATAACTGCTTTTGGATTTCCTGGTATATGTGCTTATCTATTGTGGACACGACAACCCCTTACTACATTTCATTTAATTGGACTTAGCTGGGCTATTGTGTGTTGGATGTCGATCGGATTCTTTATTTCTCTTGTGGTGACTCCCTTTCCTCTTATATTCTTTGATGTATAACCTGGTTTTATTGCGGTTCAAGCATTGGCAGTCATTATGTCAGCTCTTACTCTCCAATGGACTTTGTTGATGATCGCTTGCTGGATGAAGAATGATGGCTGCAGCAATCCTTGGTCTGCTACTCAAATTTCTTTCGTCGTGAATGACGAAAAAGTGCAATTCAAAAGGCGTTTTATTAAACTATCTCCTCTAAGCTTGAAAAGCTCATCGAAATGTTTTAAAATTTTCTGGCTCGTGATTATCGTATTTCAAATTATTGGCATTCCTGGCTTTTTTGCACTGAACTTGTTAAGCTTCACCATCTGGTAAAGTTTTCAAATGCAAAAAAAGGCTATTTAGAAATTTGATTTTTCGTTAGACAAACTTTTGTAGTACTGACGAAAGAACATATTTAAATTGAACAATAATAATAGCAGCTTTTATTTCATTTGAGTTTTTTTTCAATTTAATAAATATTTAAAAATTTTGTTATTTATTCGTAAATTTATCCACAAAATAAGACGACCCTTCAACAGATAGCTTATCATTGTCCAGACAGAAGTTATATGATTTATATCAAAACAATTAAAGAAAAGAAAAAGTAATTATCTTTTGTCTCTCCAACTAGAAACTTCACAGATATCTCTACCATGGATAGAATCAGTGTTATAAGCACTTATAACAGAGGCTGAGCCTAGCATACCATTATTCAGATTTCGATCTTACTTAAGAGTCTTGAAGGATGTGGGTAAATGTGTCAGTCTCCTCTTCAGCAAGTCTCACACCCACACCCTCATGAAAGCATTTCACATCATATATTTCAGAAAATTATTTTCCGTCTCTAGTCTTTCTTTTTCGTGCATCATTGATCATTAGATGATATGATTTTATTATTGACACTTTTATTCAAAAGCAAAAGTTATGCTGTAGTACATGTAAACACGTCAAAATTTGAAAAAGGTAAAAAGAAGAAGTTTTATATTGAAATAATTAGTGTTGCCACAGACATTTATATGCGAAGTTTCATGAACTTCCAATTCTTAGAAAAATAAAATATTAACTACACGCTTTAGTTATTTCAATACACAAGATGATTGACATTCAAACGATAAAAAGACTACGATACATGAGTTTCAAGTATTTCGGTATGTGGGTGCAAGCATAGAAGCGTGAGTGAATAATATTAGTGAGTAATAGCATCATTATGACTGTAGATACGCTAGCTGATGAGAGTAGCCGTCGGTTTGGCGACGGTGTGAATCACTTGATGTTTGTCAAGTTCTCCTCTTTGCTCTAATCGAAAAGTTGCAAGAATTCAGAAATTTTTAATTCCTATGATATATCTATTCGATATGAATTGTTTTTGGATGTAATACGAGCGAAATAACTTCACAGTATCGACTACTATTTCAGTAATGATGATTGATTCATTGCAGTGACATTCAAACAAACATTTATTTTATAGCTCTAATCATTGTGATGTATCTTTGAAAAAAATCAATTTTAATTGCATGTGCAATAATGTGTGACGCTTGTGTTACTAATCAGACGTTTAGTTTTGTTTTTTGCTGACTAATTTCTAACCGAACACGTTAGAAAAATTCGAAATAAAGCATAAAAAGATACATATGATGAGTCAAAAGTATGAATGAATGGTTCGACTATCATATTAATCATATAATTATAACATACATGAGTATTACATTGCAATGGTCATGAAAGGTTCCGCAATACGATTTCGACTTTTTTGTCAAAATCGGCCATGCATAATTTAACTATTAATAGAACTCTATGAAGTGTGTTACAAGTGAGAGCTTTACTGCCACTTGCCTTTTTTACAATCTTGCTGCTTACCTCCGCATAGACTAACTTAGGTTTTTTCATGAGTGAGAAGTTCCAAAGTAGATTATTTAGATAATCATTCTATCACTGAACTGTGTACATTGGTAAGGATACATCTTGTTAAAATAATTTTTCTATCTGAAACTACACTTTCTGAAGCTTATTGGCAACTAGTTTATCCTTATAATGATGTTTTATACAGTTCAATCAGAGAGAAAAATATCTATCAAAGCAAATGTATAATTTAGATACTGCCTAGTTGAAACTAAAGTATCTGAAACTGAACATGTGTTTTATTCTTATTTATTCATACACATTTGTTTCGATTGCAGAGATCTCACGAAGGTACTTCTGATTTATGCTGAGCGAAGCTTTAGTTCTTTGTAAACTGTATCCTTTATAGCAGCTAATGAAATTAAAATACAGGGGTTCGCTATGTAATACAACATAATATATATTTAAGAATTCAAACATCTGAACTTTTATTCATTCGTACGGCGAATAAAACAGAACTATCATTTTTCAATTATTCATCGTCCGTGTATGAACAAATCTTGATTCTTAGCATATATCATGTTAATACCAGTTATTTCTTTATTAATCATCATTGAAACACGCGTCATCATCGGTCGTCCATCGTTCAATTCGATTTTTCATGCAACGGCGAACAAATTAAAAACTTTTGACTCAATTACCGGTCTTCCAGCGCACTCAAATGTCTTTCGACAAACGATAGATATAGATGAAAGTAGTACACTACGTGGAAAGAGTTTGTCAACGAATATTCGTCGAATCAAACTGAACTCTAGCGCTAAATTAGATCCAAAGATATGTATTGCTCTTGATGCAATCGAATCTCTAGAATCAGTTCAATGTATATTTGGAAGTCGACAACAGCTTGTACTTGCATTTAAATCGAGTGCTGATGCCCGTTTTCTCTATAATAAATGGCTTGTATCAGGTGCTAAATTTGTTAATGGTGGTCCAGTGTGGGATTGTCGTAATGTAACAACACAAGAAACAATAATCATATTTCAACGCATATCAACATTTCGAATAAAAAATATACAAGTATTTATCGAAACTTACAAGGATACAAATATAAGTCCACTCATATGCTTTACCAATATTTCGATGCACTTGACGTGGGAACAGGGTAGTGTAACAACCGGAAGAAAAACGACATCACCATCCCAACGACAAACAAAAGTTCCAGTGGCTAACTTGAAATCCCTTCGTAGTTCGTGGAGTTTCGATCCACAAAGACCTCTCGGTGATGAAATCTTTTATACTGGGCAAACCATCGAAGTGAGTTGGTCATATTCGAATATGGACCCAAAGACTAGTCTTGAAATCGTACTTTACCGAAAACAGCTCTTATTCGATGCTGAAATAAATAAAATAACTACACAAATGAATATCCTTCAATTATCTTTTGTCATTCCTGCTACTTTGGAAGCATCATCCAATGATCAATATTACTTCAAATTTCGTTTTTCCCGCTCTTTGATATCTTATTGGAAATCTAGTGCTCTCTTCTATATTCCGACGCTGCCATCTATCATTCCCAGAGAACCACCCGCAATCAACGAAGTGTTTTATCCAGGCGACATAGTACCATTATCATGGCAGAATGTGAATTTTGTAGCAGCATCACAAATTACGGTACGCTTTCGTCGAGCACGACCCATAATACCAGATGCCAACTTAGCTACTTTCACTGTGTTGGCTACAGCCAATGCTTATAACTTTACAATTCCGACTTCCTTAGATCGAGCTGATAATGATAAATATTACTACTTCGAATTCGACTGTAAGCTGATTATAAATTTTCTATTGAATTTTTTTTTCTCCTATGCGATGTTTAGATTGCACATCATGGTTATCATTGAATTGCAAAAAGACTACAAATAATTTCTTTGTACCGCTTCGACCTTATGTACGTCCAACATTTCCAGGTGTCGACGATTGGTTCTCACCATTACAAACGGTGATACTTGAATGGATCAGTGCAAACTTCGCTAACGTAAATGATCTACTTACGATCAAACTTCGTCGCTCTAACTATTTGCTACCTGATAGTGATATCGACACTTTTACATGCACAGTAAATTCAAGTGGTTCGTGTTCATGGACTTTACCAGTTGTTGAAAAATCTTTTTCGAGTTATTATTTTGAATTTAACTGGTGCAAACATTGGTATTCGACAGATTGTACAGCAAAAAGTAATCAATTTTCAATTCCAACACATGCTATCGGATCATGGAATTATGACGAACAACGAAGTCAAGCACTAGCATCGAAAACGCTCTACTCGGCTTCATGCAATACTATGTGTCCAACAAGTGACATAGAACTGCTCTATATATGCCAGATGTGTGGTAAAGGACGATCTATCGGCATGCAGGTGAACTGTACAAATTGTTGGGCTACGTTCGATTACAGTATTGTTCAAATAGAAATCGAACGCAAAGATAATTCACCATCATTAGATAAAATAGTAGTGCGCATGAATTCTCATGTTTCAGTTAATCTTGATTTCTCTATTTGGGCCGATTATCAACATAGTTTTGATGGTTGGTTACCTCTACCATCTATTCCAATCGGTCCATCCATCCAAGTTTCTATTGGTTCGCTTAGTTTTGGTGTAGGACTGTTTTTTGCTCCGTCCATATCATGGAATATTACAGTGGATGCAATTGGAAATCTAACTGCTGGTGTAGATTATCAATGGCAAACAAATCTGACATTGATTAGTACTCCTGGCAATACAAGCAAAGAGTATACACAAAACTTGACGCGGAACATCCATCCGATGCAAGGAAATTTTCAAGCAAACCTTCTAGTTGATTTTGCCTATCGTCCAGCACTAGCATTGCAAGTAGGTATTTTTACTGTTGATTTAGGAACCGATGGCTATATTATATTCGAATCTGTATGGCGTTATCCACCCTTTGCTGCACTTTCGACATCAAATTTTGATTGGAATACGCAAAAGATTGCTCCCTTTCATGTTTCTCTTCCATCGAATTCATGTCTTACAACTCATTTTATTCATTATCATACCATGTGTGGTATTCGTAATACTCAAATCTCTATTGGATTCGATCAACTTAGTGATCTTGTCAATATTTTCACCGATTTTGACTTATCATTATCGACAAGATCCCTTTTTGATCTTGGACCATACGAATTATCTTCAGGTTGCATGTATCAAGCCAACCTGAATACGGATACATATCAAACAGTGTATTTGATACTCAATAGACAATTTACTCCAATAAATAACACATCTGATACATATTTGTCACGGGCAGTAGTTAATGATTTAGCCTATGCTCTTGCCGTATCACAAATACGTTTTTACTATAATAATACATTCAGCGTAGAGCAAAACCGGATGACAGGCATTGCAGTCGTATTTTTACCATCGACTTCTGCGTCCACCAGCGATCCTACCGTGATGATCATGGTACAATGGTTTCGAGATCAAGCAATCAATTTTAAATCACTTCTTTATTCTGGTTTAGTGACAAGTCTACTAAATATTACACAAACATTCAGTATCAATGGATTCGACTCATCGAAACTATAAACTTGACTATGCACTGATGGAGTTTTCTCGTAAAAACTGGATACATTTCGTGTTTTATTGTAATGAAAGCCCACCAAGAATAGAATTTTGTAATAGAACTGATGATGTCCCATCGGAACGAATTTTCTTGATTAACGCGTATCTTCCCATAATCATTTTAGAATTTACATTATGATTTGATTTAGTGTGTTACAAAGAAAACTATCATGACTTGACACTAGTTAGTATCAACGACGTACTTTGTGGAATATGAGATGTCTTTAAATTAAAAGTAAAGTCATGATTGGAAGTGGATTTCAGTAAAATAAATTTCTTTTTCAAACGTCGAAAGTTATTAACATAAAGTTAGGAGAAGGATTTCGCTCATTAACTGAGCCATTGTACAAAGAAAAAGAATCAGTACTTTAAAAGTACCAAAAAAGAGGACGAAAGCATTCAATGGCAGAAGATAATAATAATACTACATTACACGATAATCTTCATAAGTGACGGAGCAAAGTTTAGCGACTATTAGGACGCTAATAAATGATCCTCCATAATGTAAGAATTAGTTAGAGCAAGTTTTGACTATTATAGGTAACATTTAGATATTTTGATTCGTGTTTAATCAAACATTACAAAAATACTGTTCTTACAATAGATGTATATAATGTTGCTAGAATAAAAATACTGCTAAAACTCTTTGCTTTACTAGTCAGAACTGTTCAAGATTTTCAGTACTTTGATTTTAGCATCATTATTGTTAAACAAAATCAATGTTTTTAATAAAAATAATCAATAAAGAGAGATCTACAAAGTCTATTCGTCAAAAAAACATTTCTTCTGGAACTTAATTTGTTTTTTGTTCTATTCCATTCAAAAAAAAACAATAGTAACTCAACTTTGTTTCATTTTATTTTTCATGTGAATATTTATTTTAATGGATCGATAAGTTAACTATCAAGTCTCAATGAAATAATTTCAAGTTTTCATAATGTATTCACAACATTTATAAATATCAAACCAGTAGTTTGCTTTAAATGTTCTTTTTAGTTGATATAATGTATATACGGTACATACTTCAACTGTATTGGTGAGTCATAAATGTATAATTTTAGTTATGCTTTAACAATTTACTCATCATATGTATTCTATTATTTTTATCTCGTAATGATGAAGGTTGTACTTGTTTTTATTTCTCATCGCCTAAGAACATGAAAAGCCAAGGTTAAATTCAAAAATCAATATGTAAATTGTACCTACGTGAATAAAAAAAAAATATAATATAGACATGATATTCGGCTAAGTTTCTTAATTTATCTCATTAAAAATCACAAGATCAAAAGAAAAGTAATATGAATGTATGAAATGAAGATGATGTATTCAATCACCATTTTTTTTTCTTATTACTAATTTGATGAAAATTTTCATTATTTTTACTATAACTCTTTGATAGTACAATTGGTTAGAATATTCTAATTTGTTTCTTTCAATATTATCTTACAAACAACCTCAAAATCAGATACTCATGCAAGAGCATCTATAAACCACATTCAGTAAAACATCTTTCAAATTTGTAGTTGTATGCGTTAACTTCTATATGAAAACGTGGCTTTTGTGAGTTCAAAATTATCGAAGTAATCACTAACGGGGAAGTTCACTCACTGTTTAATTCCTTTTATGTTGAGACTATGCGCACTATGTAGATCCAAATGGGATATGAATATCACGAAAAGAGTTCGAGCCGCTAACTTGTTGCTACGGAAATACTGCAATTTTACCTTGTTTTTTAAATCAATGTCGTAGACTTTCTCAGGAACACCAGAGAGACTAATTTTCGAGTTTCGACTTGAAAATTTGCATAGAAACAGGCCTTAAAGAGAATATCTTTTTTGTGAATGTTTCAAATCTTTTGATGTTCTCATTTTAGGATAGAAGAAAATCAAAAGATTTGTTAAGGCCTATTTCTATACAGAATGTGGATGTAATACTGAAAAAAGATCTCATAGTCACACACTCACACCCATATTCTCAAGCATTTTAGAATAGAATGCATAAGAATGTATTTCAAAATGTCTGTAACAGAGGCAATTAAATTTTTCTTACAGCGAAAGAAAATCTCAATTGAGACTATTAAATTGTTTAGATAACTCAACTGAATTTTACTAAATGATTTTATACATAAATTTTTCCGTGTTTTCATACATTTTTTGTTATTTTTTAGGTTTTTTTTACGCAGTTTTGTAAAATTGTTTACTGGGGGATTAGATGAGTCTGATTATTTTTTTAATATTTACCATTGACAATCGAAAAAAAAATAATCAGTATCACATTAATGTTTAATGATAACGCTTGAATTAAGATGAAGACATTGAAGACGATATCTTCGGATATCTATTTGGTCAAAAGTATTGATATTTAATTCGCTGTGTTGACCTATCTATAGGCTAGAATCTATGCAAAAATTAAATTCACTTAATATTAATAATTGTGAGAGTTAATAGCGAATGATTTTAACCAGAAAAAAAGAGACTTCAATATGACAGAGTATGATGAAGTGCGAGCACTGAATACTGATAATGAATTTATTTATGCAGCAAAACCTACTTATAGTAAAAGTAATCAGCACAAAACTTGGTTCATTGCATTAACTAACTTGTGAAGAAATGTATTCATCGAAATTATATACAATGATTAGAACGACGTGATACACTGATATCATTTCTACTAAGCTAATGAACTAATACTTGTAACCCATTGTGATGATTTATTTTTTATCAGTACTAAAATGTCTGCTGCTAACATGTATGATTAATTTGGTCTATCCCACTTTCAATTGCTTATAATATAACGATAGACGAAAGTTCAAACTACTTTATGCTAGACTTTTCTATGGGAAAAATCTTTTTGAATTTCATAAATCTTTGAATTCTAATTTTCACTCAATCACTTCGATAAGATTTACGTATATAACTTCACATGTATTCGCGTATTTTCTTTATCACCTTGTGATGCATTTAGTGCATAATTTTTTTGTTTTCTCTGCTCACATGTTTGCAAATCGGAATAAACAGTGCATAGATCGATTTATTTATAAAATATCGACTTTTTGTACGTTTCTTTTGTCGTTAAAATCAATGAGGCGATTCAATTGTGTATTATTTTGTCTTTGTATAGTTTTCATTTTGCATTTGATCAAAAGATATGTTAGTATACGTTCTTATAGTGATTTTTGCTAATTATAAACAAATTGTTAGTCAGTCATGGAATACATCTGATGGTCTTCTTCCATGGGAATCATATATACAATTAAGTGAAATACAACGACCACTTGGTCTTACAATTGATCGATCATCACTTGCACATTATCATTTTGCTATTGGATATTTTTGTTTCCATTCATTTATGTATGATGAAGCACAAGATGCTTTTGATCTAGCAATTAATATTACACCGACATTCGTTGAAGCTTATATTGGAAAAATGCTTGCGTATGTTTTAATATTTACAACATACATTTTAGTTTTTTTTTATTCGAAATTTTTATTTTAATTAGATGTAAACATGCATTATGGTCATATACTGATTTTGATTGTGGCTTAGCAGTATATAATGCGACTATATCAATGTTGAACACATCATTTATAACACTTTCACCATTTCAATCATCATTACTTGCAACAGTTTATCAATGGTATGCAAATGAATCATCGATTACAGTTGGAGAACAAGCATTTTTATCATCAATAACTAGTTTATCAGAAACATATCCAAATGAAACTGATATTCGTGTTTTATGGGGTCTTTCTCTTCTTAATGTAGCTTTTGGACAAGAATTTCAAGGTCAAATGGAACCTGCACCAATGATAGAAGCAAGAGAAGTATTGAAAACTGCTCTAGCATCTGAACCAAATCATCCAGGTGCTCTTCATTATTTAATACATGCTTATGATGTTGCTCAGAATAATATATCTGTAAACGCAATAGATTATATATCAACGTATCAACCATTAGTTAATACATTGTCATACCCACAACATTTAATGACTCATATTTATATGCGTACAGGTAAATAAGATTCTTATGAAGCTAAAAAAAACAAGTTATATCATAATTATATACTATCTTATTTTTATCATTAGGTTCACTGCTGTTAGCTAAATCATCTGATGAAAGATCTATTCAAGTTAGTTTAACATTGTGTTTAGTTAAAATAATGAATCGTATGGTATCTAATGTATCTTCCACTCAACTTGAACTTGTTTTGACTCAACTTAATACGACAGATGAAATATCATCATTTCTATTATGTGATGCTGACAATCGAGCTTATGCAACAGAATGGCTTTCATATTCTCGTTTACAAACAGGTGATTGGCTTGGTACATTATCTTTAATAAATGATTTGTATATTGCTTATAATCAATCATTGACACCATCAACTCATCATTTATTATTTGCATATCGTGCTCTTGCACGTGCTGCTATCAATCTTTTCTATTGGTTACCATACGATATTCAAATTGTCAATAAAATACAAGAATTAGTGGAAGTCGGTAAAATTCTTCCATTTGTTACATTTGATGACAATAGCACAGATGTTGTTCTAGCATGGAGTGAAGCTGGATATCGATTCAGTAAGTTATAATTATTCTATATTCTTATTTGATTTAATAATTTTTTTAGGTGATTGTATTCGATTATTAAATACCAATAATACAGATTATAATCAGTCAATAATAGAACCAATAATAGATGAACATTTTGCTCATTTTTCTTTACTTTCTAATCAAACTGCTTCATTAAATCCATATATATCAACAAGTATATCAATGATGATATCTCAAATTCAAGGAATTATTTATTTCAAAAATAATTCATATCAAGAATGTTTAAATATATTAAATGAAGCTACTCAACGTGAATTAAATCTTGTTATTGATAATAATAGTCCAATTTTAATTTATGCACGTTCATCGGAATTATTAGCTATGCATTTATTACTTATTCATCGAATATATCAAAATCAATCGGTATTTTTGAAATTTAGCTTTTATTAAAATCTTTTCAAACTAAAATTCTTTTTCTTTTTTGAAGGAACCAAGTATTCCGACATTTATGTTAAATGGTACACAAGTATCTATAAGTGAATTTCCACAATATGCATTAAATCTCTATCAAATAGCAGATATATCAGCACCTAATCGAGCGATTAATATACTTGGTATGGCTCGAGCCAATTCACAACTTCGTTCTAATGATGAAGCAGTAAAATTCTATCGAAAATTACTTGATCAAATAAATGCTTCGAATAATACTGATCCATTATTTTCTCAAGAAGCAACAGATTTTATTGCTCAGAAAGAAAGCATGGGAAATTCTGCTAACAGTAATCAATCGTGGTTTTTATTTATTTTAATTGTTTCTATATGTTTCATTTTTTATTAATTCATCAATAATATTTTTGCAATCTTAAATTCCATTAATATAATTATCGAAACTCAATTATTTTTTCAAGATTTATTTAGATGAATCAATTGATAGTATAAAAAAATAATGCTGAAATAAAATATACAAACTACTAATTCCTATCTATAAAATGATACATTCAATGTAATACTATATGATCAGTTTTCTAAAATCTTAGGCTATAGAAGCAAAATATATACTATAAATACTAAAAATGATTCAAACAGATTTCGTTCAAAATTCAGCAAACATTACAGACAAAAATTGCTGAATGTTGTATCTTATATTTCTCTCTTTACGAAATACGACATTTTCAATCGTAAGTATTGGATAAGAATCAACTTTTCGCCTATTAATCTTACATATAGCACAATAA